ATAGCAAAATATTGGACATTAAAAAAGCCACAAAAAATAGGAGAAAATAAAATAAAAATAAAAAATGAAATTATGACTTGAGAAAAAAATTATTTTTCTTAATAAATCTTATTCGATCTATAAAAGAGGCATACTAGCCCCTGTTTGAGCCCCATTCTTTAAGAAAAATACATTTTTTAATAGTATTTTAACATCATTTCAATCACACATTTTCCAATAAGATAATATTACACGTAAATATAAAAAATTTCCTTATTTTTTAATCACATATTTTCCATTAATACACTATTCAAAAATTCATTCCTACAAAAAAAAAAAAAAAAATTTTGGAAAATCAAATCGAAACTTTCGATTCTAGTTCAAATTCGGTTCAGGAGATTTGGTTCCAATTAAAATGTCTAGACCTACTTTATTGGGATAATAAGATAATTCTCATCAAAAGAGATAATGTGACATGCTTATGTCAATCACTAGCCAGCCACAATCCTTCTAAGATTTTCTTCTTTTCTTCTTTCAACTCTCGAGTTTAACTTCTCATTTACTTTGATTCTCATCCCTTTCTTATGAAAATTTAAATATCTCAAAACAAAAACATTACTCATGACTATCTCCAACCTCATAACACTCATCACTCGACATTCATTCATTTATGAATATCAAAATAAGAATTGACAAACCCTCAAACATAAATAAAGAAAAATTATTGTAGGGCAGGCTGAAATTTCAAACTTACACCAAAACAACATATGTACACACCTTGTGAGGAACATGAAAATCATATGGGGATCCCAAAATAACTCCCTTTGTTACCTCACAAGGGGCTAATATATGGCCTACCACCCCACAAGACAAGACATTATCAAAATGCACATGGCTAACTTAGAAGCTTGTGAACTGAATTGCACCAATCATGTGGGGCTGCTAAACATATATTCAAAGTGTTAAGTCTGCATTGCTTGCTTATCAGTAAGGTTCCCTTCCATGTTGCTAAGTCTAGTCTTAATAACAAGTGGGACTATTAGCAAATGCCCCTTTGAATAGGACTTCCATTGGTCACTAACTAGCAAAAATTGGATGAGAATGCACATGTCTACTTGTGGATCCTATTTCAAGTTTTATTAGTTAGATTTGTCCATTCAAATCATTTGGAACACTAGCATATGGTTTTGTGATCCCAAGTCGGATAAGTTATGTTAGAAAATATGAACACAGTCGAAAAAAAAAAGTGAGAATGAGACTTTGGACTGCTAAGATGTAAATATCTGACAAGATAACAATTGCGTTTCGTCTATTTTCTTTAGTCGTTTTAAAACCGTTGATAATGACAGAAAGATTTATCCAAAATGTATGAAAATGAATTTTGAAGAGATTTTTGGCTCCATGTCAAGTGCATTGCAAGTTGATGATTAATGAAGAAAATCAATTTTAAAGATGTCAACACTAACGGTTGAAACTTTTTTTAAATTGGCCCTTCTTTGATCCTTTTAGCCAAAATGTACATAACCAAATACTCTTCTTTCCTTACTTTTAATTCGACTTTACGAATTCTTTATTTTATATTTATTTAAAAAAATTACACGACATACGTGCTAAATTGACAAAATTTATACAGTTCTGAAAATGAATAGGGCAATAGAAATTGACAAAATTGAAGATATGCTGAGAGATTTTGTTAGTGTCTTGATGCATCCTTCTTTTTTAGAAAACAAAGAAAATTCCCA